ACTTAGCATTAAATTATTATGAAGCTAGATATTGTCTTGGATTTTAGTCTCGACTTAAATGTTCTTTCCTAGTCTGAAAGACTGCTTTACAGTTACTGACACAAACATCTAAATCCATGTCTTTAGCTGAGCAAACATAGAATCTTTCTGCTTTTTATTATCATCTCTACTGATTGTTTCTCAAATTTGTGTTATATGTAAATATCTGATAAAAGTAATCATCAACAAAATATAATCACATTATTAATACAACATATTGTGACAAAATATTGATAATTCCCATTTTTAGTACTCAATTGGCTTGACATCCTGATGAAATGTATTTGTTCAAAAATATTTGTATTAGCTTTTGTTAATATCTCCAAGTCTAGAAATAAAAACAGCTTTCCTGTGATTTTGCACATCACACTGCAGTCAAAATGCAATGCAATATAATCACTTCATCGTGAGGACACTTTGGCATCTAGTATTTGGCATCCCATTAAAGACAGCAGTCTTACGCCAAAACCACAGATAGCTTTGACCAAATGTAATGAGAACAGACTGGCGATGAGCAGCAATAAGGACCTGATATAGTGATGAGCAGGTTGAGGCCCTCTAGGACGTCCATCTGTTGGAACCTGCGGGAGTTGATGAGGGGGTAAACCTTGCCCTGACCACTACGGTCCAGCAGCTTCAAACCATTTTCTGTGCCCACCAACAGGTTCACGCCTGGAGGGGGGGGGGGCACACAGAGACAAATAGCTTTCTTAATTTTGCATATAATCATTGTAATTATTGCCTTTCCTATAGCCACAGTTAATATATTTTTGCAGTATTTGCAGTAATTATTTAGAGGTGAAGTAAATACTAATAATAAATATAATGAAGTAAGTTTCAATGGATATGTGATATAACTGTGTATGTCACTCACTAAGCCTATTTGAAGATGGGGAAAAAAAGGACTCTGAAGGTCATATTGTCTCTCACACAACACATGCAGCTCAGCACATAAAAACACAAACTTTAATTTACCCCCCCAACCCCATTTCATCACCTAGGAAAAGATGGTGTTTATAAACAGCTGAGAAAAGAGGCTGGAAGAGCAGGAAATTATTTGATAAAAATGGCTTTCATAATGTAAGCAGAGTTATTAATATCATACTAAGACAATCACCGCTACACTAGTCACATGTCACATGTTTGAGCTTCAGTCAATTTTGAAACCACAGCCCTGCTGGACCTGACATATTAGTTCTCTGTCTAGATGTTGATCCAGAGATAACATGGATAAAAAAAACTAGGCTCTGACAGGGCACCAATAATCTGACTTATTTCTCTGTACTCTGTGTTTCAACCAGAGCCTGGTAACTTGCTCGATGTTTAATCCTTTTTTGTATTTACACTCGTGATGAATCTGTTCTCACCCCACAGCGCAGCACACAGGATCTCAGAGTTGAACCTCTTCTTGTACTTGCGGATCTCGGGTGTATCATTGGGGGGGCGTGTGTTGGTGGGATTGACATTCACCATGGATCCTTTCCTTACCTCCATCTTCAGCTGCTCAAACCTGGAGCCTAAACAACGAGGCAGCAATTGAAGTGGCTTAAGTTGGGATGGAAAATGGAACAAGGTTCTGAACTATACATAAAAATCCCATTCATCCTTTTTAAAAGAGAGATCACAGATGATTAACAAGTTACTTAAGTATTTTATTGCAAAAGAAATAATGTCACAGGTGAAGGCAGTGAATACCTTTGCAACCAGGCTTGTTTAATGTTCAAGAAACTGCAAGCAGATGTTGCTGCAAGTATGAAAAGCTTCTGACTCACCAGTGATAGACATGTTATCCCCTGTACCTCCTGGTGACTGGTACATGCCCAGATCCACAAAGGTGGTGAAGGAGGACTTGCCAGATGCTTTAACCAAACCTCTGGACTGATACTGGTGGAGTAGAGAGGGTGTATGAGTTGCACAGTGTTGTTTAAGTCATGTCTGAGGAGATTTTAGTTTGTCAGACAAAATGTTGAAAAATCTTCTCTGCTTATATGGCATTTAGACAGGCAGTTTTAAGATGTATATTTTTGATGATAGCCCACTAACAAGCTGAACTGATTGTCATGGAATTTAATTTTTTATGGGTGGACTTCATGACTGAATGATGGCAAATAGGAAACACCAGGAATTTAGGGCTGATAAACTTAGCATCAGTAAAACTTACATCATAAACAGAGTCCTTCCCAGGGGAAGAGTGACTGGCTGAATCTGTGGGGGAGTGGGAGGGCTGCACCACATCTGGCAAGTTAGTGTACCCATTATGGCTCCGCTTCTCTGGGGTCTTTCAGGTAAAAGAGAAACACACGCAACTCCATGTATTACATAACGTCAATGCCAGAATTGGAATTAGGCTAATCTGCTGCATCACTTACTAGGATATGACCTGTTTGGTTAACACGCCACAGTAACCACCAGAAGTGACCAAACTTGCTTTAAAAAGTCATGTTCTTAACACTGGGAGACCCCACCAGATATAGTGCCTTTTATGTAACATGTAACCCTAACCCTGTGATGTGCCACTGTTATTTATACGCAGCTGTCCAGGTTCAAGCTGCTGTGCACAACCTAACATCAGTGGATGCTTCCCAGCCTCACATCTTATAGTGAAAACTGAACATGCAAGAGTGGGTATGTTTTACTGTTTTTTTTTGTTTTTTGAAATTACGCTAAACAAATCTAAAACATTGTTTTTTTTAAAATGATACGGTTAGATAAGATTTATCTGAACAGCTTTTAAACATTCAGATTTTTAAATAATATGGAAGCCCTTAAAAATCTGAAAGCAAGTCATGTACAGGCCATTTACTGTACATTCTTAGTTTTTGTATACTAATCATAGTGGCAAAAAATGTATGTCAAATGTATGGTAAATGTCAATTGTACATGATGTTCTCCAAGATGACTTTTCAAATTAATTTTAAATTCACTCCACATCCTACATATGAAAGTTCCTGAATCCTAAACATAATTTACACCCTTTTTCTGTTTCAGTTAGAAAGAAATATTATGAATAAGTGATATATGGCAAGAATCTAATTTGCACAGTGGTATGAAGTGTGACCTGCTGAAGATGATCTTAATTGTCCTGTCTGTGAGACAGATTTGAATACTTGAAAGTAATCAAAACTACTCCTTGTAAGTATGGACTGCAAAATTGTGACGCCCTGTGGGGTCATGAGTGAGTGTGGCCTGTCTCTCTCTCTCTCTCTCTCTCTCTCTCTCGTGGAGGAGGAGCTGATTGCAGTGGCTCTGGGCACCTGGGCTAATTGCCCTGTAGAGTATTTGGGACTGTTTTCTCATTCGGCAAAGGGCTGCTGTCAAGACCAGGTCAGACCTCCCTGCGGCCAGCTCCCTGGTTTTCCATTTAGTTTGGTTTTCTTTGGTTGGACTGTTGCATTGTGGTATTTGTCTTGTTTGCATGCTAAAACACCTTCACACATACATCCATGCAACCATCACCCTGCACAGACACTACTGAAACCACAGACTATATACCTCATACTTTGATGTTAGTTTAAAATACTTCTTAATTTGGTTAATTTTGGTTTAAATAAACATATTTTGTTAAACTTTTATGATGGTGTGTCTCCCTTTTGTTGTGGCATTTTGAGCCAGGTCATAACAAAATGTATATAATTTTATGTATAATGCCAGACAAATTAATAACTCCATATCTCATCACATTTTTTCAGTATTGTAACTGTAGCTTAACAAATATTTGACACTTAATGCATATTCAAATACACGCACACATGCATAAACACACACACAAAACTTTTTCACAGTGAAGGTGACACTTCCCACATTCAGCCACCTGCACAATGTATGCCGTCTGTCACTGAATCATATTGCTGTCTCCCCAGAAATCTCAAATCTTTATGCCAACCTAACAGAGGTGGATTGAAGTAAACAATATTCAGCTGCGACATTATTGACACATACACATTCAGTAACTATGTAGTATAGGCTTGCAAAGGTTCTCATGGTCACCTTTGGGCTGATCACTGCTCTGAGTTCCTGTGAGCACAGATGTGCAATCCTAAAGCTGTGGCTACATAACATTATGGTCTATTGATAGCAGACTTGGCACTGTATTATAGGTCTGCCTCCTCTGTGATTCATTTCCTCCTGAGTGCTTGTTGAACACGGGTGCAAAGCGCTGAATTTATAAAGATGCTCTTGCTTTTGGCTATGAGGGAGTTTCAGTGAAACCTGTCTGTCATTTTTGATGCTTTAGACATCTTAATTTTTTCTGCTATCAAACTTTATTAAGGTTGTGTGTAAAAAGCCTCCACATAACACCATGTCCTCTTCATTTGGTCAATTATGTGTGTAAATTAATAACACCAAACGACAAATTACACCCAACAACTTTGTCTTGTTGCTTTGTAATATTCTTTGACATGTATTGCATTGATTGCATGATTCCCATGAAGTCACAATGCATTTTAAGCATGATTACGTATACAGATGACTCACCCTCTGCACCAGCATGGTCTGATCCCCATAGCCTCCAGCTTGCTCTCCCTCTCCCCCTTCGCCTTCATCTTCATGAACCACCATGGTGTTGACAGAATCGGTGTCTGCATCCCTGTGACTGAAATCAAAAGATGAATAGAAGTAAAAGGATGACATAAGACCCCAAGCTTGATAATGGAAAGGACTTAAAAGAGAGTAACACAGTTATATGTATTCATTTTGAAATAAAGACGACAAATAAAAACAATTCTTTGCTTCCTAAATTGTTAGTACGAGTAGGTGTTAAGTGTTACCGGTCTGTGGGGCTTTCTTCCTCCTCAGCTCCCTCGCCACTCTCGCTTTCCTCACTACTCTCGCTGCTCTCTGAAGAGGAGGAGTAATCATTGGCCTTGACTGGGGGCCTTGGCTGCTCCTCAGCACGCTCCTTGGCAAAGAGGCCATGGTCCTGCACACACACACACACACACACACACACACACACCACCGTTTACTTTATGAATGCATTATAAAATGTTTTAAAAAGAATATCAAGCTATTAAAGAAAGTAGCAACTAAGTAATTTTATGCAATACAAATATTAAAGACAATCCAAACACAAGTGAAGGTGACGGGTCAGGAGGATGACGTCAGACACAATGCTCTTAGGTTTCAGAGCCTATCCACCTTTTTTGGGATGAACATGAGGAATGTTTACAAGGCCTGTGCTGAGTGCAGGGATGTCCACATAGTAACAGAAAAAATGCATTAAAGTTACAAACACATCAAAAAGGCCTTTATGTGAAGAGTGGGATTTCATTCAAAGACAAACACATGCAATTCATTCTATGTACAACAGCCAATGAATGCAGATACAAACTCATGCATTAACACTGAGCGTTGCACAACACACAAAAACACATTGATACTAACCTCCCCTATAGCTCTCTTGTAACTCTGTATTTTTGAGGTAAAGTCAACAAATAGCGGTTTGAGAAGAGAAGAAACATGAAGGGAAACAACCAGAGTGTGAAGTACATTAAGTGTAAAGGAACGGAAATGTGAGGAGAAAAGAATTAGTATACTAAATGTCAATTTACAGAGTAGATCCATTTTAGATCAAACTGAGCACATGTAGAGTAAGTTATTGCTTTATATTTTATAATTACTTATATCTGAGCAATAATATGTGTTGCATGCACCACAGCAATGTTAAAACTAATTCTATAAGTAGGGGATAGTAGAGAGACTTACAGCAGGACGCCCAGGGCGGGAGGAGGTGCGAGACTCCCCTGGCTTATGACGACTATCATGTGAGAGAATGGGTGAATCCATTTTGGAGGAACCTGCAAAAAAACAATGTTGTAGAGTGACGTTATCACACTGAAATTAGACTTACTGCAAAGAGAGTCTTCAGAGAAATAGCATTGGGGAGGCAGGGACTCACTAAGGATGCGATGCCTCTCTAGAGAGCCAGTCTGGGGCAGATTGGATATGATGTTCATACTGTCGCCTCTCTCCCAGCGATCATTTCGGCTGAGATCTGGATTGCTGCCGTGAGGATACAAACCAGTTATCTCAAGTCGTAATTAAAACTAATTTACAGAAATATCTAATCAAATCACTTGGCTGTCTTCAGTACCTGGCTCTTACTGGATGCCTTATGCCAGAGGTCAGGTTGGTGTTGAGAGCTGTGGCAATAGACGCTGTCCTCTGGGGAATCTGAGGACAGCAACATCATACTCTTACATTTAACAGTAGCTTAGAAAGTGACCAAAGATATTTTTTAAACATTTTATAGCCCTAATTACCACCCTTAAAAACAACAATAATTTCCTATATGACTGGTAGACCAAGCAGCCTTTAATGCACCAAATATGCAATGAAGTTTTTAATCGCACAAACCACCTTTAAAGGTATTCACGTAACTTAATCCTGAACTGGTCAAGAGTTTTCCATAGATGTAAGGGTGGGTTTTTAATCACCGCCGCCACCAAATAAATTGGATAAAAACAAAAAATCTTTAGATCCACCAGCTACTGTGTGAGGTAAACGCTTTTTATTTCTTAAAACTGAGAGTTTAACAATGTCAGTTTACTAACTGTAGTCCAAATACAATGATATTAGTTTGTACATATGAGAGTCTTGTTAAAAATAAGTGCAAACAGGGGTTATGTTTGGGGTGTGTACACCTACTGCCGAGTCAAAACCAGCCACTAGGCTCTTACCTTGGGTGGGAGTTCCACGTCTGGCAGGCGGATCCAAGGGCCGCGATCCTCTCTGATCTGGTGTACCTGTGGTGCCGGGGTTTCAGAAGTGGGGTCTGAGTTTTGACGCACCAGTTCTCTGGAGTGGATTGGGCGGGGTGTGGGGGTAAGGGAGGGATCCTGGGTGGGGAAGGCGGACATGGTCTTAGTTGGCTGGTCACAGAGGGACTGGGAGCGAGGGACAGGGGCAGCATAAGGCTTCAGTGGAACCAAGTGAGCCATCTGGAACTGCAGAGGACAGGAGCAGCAGCACACCAGGACGGAGGAGCAGCCGAGCAGAAGGAAGAGCACACAAGACAGTCGGAGAAGCAGGCCGAGGTGGTGAAGAATGCAAGGTTGTGTTTATATTCCGAGGTGATTTTTAAACATGTAGGAACAAATTGATTACAGAGGGGTTGAGAGAGAAAGGGGGGAAAAGAAGAAAAAGAAGGTGTAAATAAGGTGGTCAATGAAGGATAAAGCAGCTAAAGAATTACAAGCAGGAAGGTATGAGCAGTTTCTTCTTCTCCAGGAGGCTTTAATCAACTGAATTTTAAACCCACCTTTCCTTGCCCCCCTTGGGGTTCAACAGGCCTCTGCATTGGTGGGGTCTGAGCAGACTGGACCACTCCTGACTGGCTGATTGAGTCAGAGCGTGACTGGATGGCAGTGTCAGAGACAGTGGTGCAGATCTTGGGTGATCCCTGTCTGTTGAGCTTACTCCGCTCCTCCACCTGAAATGAGCAGGACAGTGAAAGAATGATTTACTCTGCAGGCCAGTGTACAGTAGTCTGGACTGTGGTGTTTAATGCTTCAATTGTAGGTAATATTGCTACCTCACGGGCCCAGGTAGGTTTGTTGTTAGGCTCCAAGTTTTTGTTATAGTGGTAGAGCTGGGGCTTCTTTTCTTGCTGCTGTTGCTGCAGAGACACCAGGTAGGCATGCTCCTGCTGCAGCTGCCTCTGTAGCCGCTCTGACTGACGCTGTTCCTCCAGCTGCTTGCGCTTATACTCCTGAGCAAAGAAACACACTGTAGTCAAGACGTTTCTTGCCTCATATTAGACATAGGTCAGGCAGGTTTACAACTGAACCAGGGTATTTGCAGCAAGTATGCATTCACTTAAACTAAAGGCAGAGGTTTGCATATTTAGCTGTATCCACTAAGATAACACATGTTTTGGACACATTTTATCATCTCCAAGAGTGTACTCCTATTTTAAGTATAGTAGTCAATTACCAACCCACATCAAAAGAGTATTGATCGTGTCTGTAGCTAAACCGTTTTGTGCTGTATATTGAACAGACACTGTAAAAGTGAGTCAGTTGACTTATTGGTTTTTCATTGTGAGGTGTAGCCACAGGTCTTCCAGCCTTTTGATGGCCACTGCGCTCATAAGGAAACAAGAAGACTTTCAACCATGAGTCACTCATGTAGACTCAAATTGCTTCTTACAACATCAGAGATTGGATTCCTATTCTCAAGCAATAACTACAACTATCTGAATGTCTCACATCAAGTTACATTCGATGTGTTTGAACAATCTTAAACAAAATTAACTGTCTCATAAAGTTAATTACTTGTTTTCGTTTGTTCTTCTTTGTTCATTTGTGCTTCCTCTTAAACTGCTTAAATTGCAAATCACTGTGGGCCAAGCGAGCTAAGCACTAGATTTACAAGTCAATCTTCATTATGATGCTCACATTTGGCCCACATGTTCTGGGTAGTGAGTGAAAGAGACTGTTGTTACACACAACTAAAATCCATTTCAAAAAACATTGTGGTGATCCTCCACAGTGACAAAACCCAGTCTTGGACCTGGTGAGGATGCCTCAATTCCTCACAAGCAGGTGGATTATAGTTGTGAGCTAACAACAGAATGGGGCTTACATCTACTGTACACAAGAGATCTGGATACTGTGCTCCAAGATGGTGCCCTAACCAACTAACTTCAATTAAAGTTTTGCCAAATTAATTTTTTAGGCTCCCTAAGGCTTCAGCATTATTGGGCCCATACAGCATGTACACTGTAAGCATGTAATGACTGTGTACGGGGAAACTTTTTTTGGGTCACTGCAATACCAACTGTGGCCAGTATGTCAAAACTGCTTCACAGCACTGTTCTTGGGGGTTTGCTGCAGACATAATCTTTGTTAATTTCCCTTGAGCATGGCACTGAAACCCCAAAACTACTCCCAGGGACACTGCCCTGTTTACCCCTGTGCTCTAGTCCCTATGAAGATATACATACACACAGGGATTGTGTGCATGTGTAACCTAGGAGGGTTCAGTTGCCTGTTGCAAATAGCAATGAGATTGGGTTCCTTCTACCTCAAAAAAAAAACACGAACAAAGAGCTCAATCCAAATGACACCAACTCCTATGCTCCAGAGGGGCTAGCTCAAACAAAGATGTCAGGAGTGTGGCAATTCTCCCCTTCAGTGTAAGCTAGATACATGTACACTAATACACTGAAATCTGCCTAAAACTGCCTGCCCAAAATCTAGGTCAGTGCATGTTTTGAAAAGGCAGTATTGTGGAAGCTACACCCATACTGTAGCAACAAACCTGAATCTGCTTATTTTGTTACAATTACAAGTAGAGTGGTTAGAATCTGACAGTAAAACTATTCATCTCAGCTCCCTTTTATTACACCTAAAAGCATCTACCCCAAACACAAGCAGTCATGTAACACTGCGGTGTTTGTTTTGACGAATACAGAAACAAGACATACTGTGGTGAGGATAAACTCAGAATTTTTCAGTGATCAATAAATCTCTTTTACTGATAAGGTATTATACCCAAGGTGGACATAGAAACATCTGCAGTCAAAACAAGAAATGATAAAAGGGGTAGTAAGAACCAGTTACCATAAGTAGTGCTTGCTCCTGAAGCAACTGCTGCTGAAGGATTTCTAACTGCCGCTGCTCTTCTTCTAACTTATGTCTGATAAACTCCTGAGGAAAGGTAAGGAGGCAGAAATGATCGGCATTAAGGTGGGAAAAGAGAAATTAAAGTATATGGGGGAGGGGTAGATGGGCAGATAACAGTTATTTAATGTCATACCATTAAACAACAGAAACCATCTCTGGTACTGATAAAAATGTCACCCACATTAACAATGAATTTTCATAATATAACATCATATGCACCATCCCTGTTTAGAAGTTGTAAGAGACAAATAAAAGTTACCAACATCACTAGCGCTACAGAAAGATAGTGATAAATGACTAGATTAAGAATAATTAAAATATTTAGCAGTACATTGTGATTGTTGTAAGGTACCACAGAGTATTTGGCACCACAAGGTGACGATGCTATGATGCCAGACGCTTGTGCTCCTGAGGGTAGACTGGAAACAGGAGCATAAGAGACGCAGAGAGCTCACCCACAGAAAACTCATCTCTGAATAAATACACTAATTTAGACCCTTGCTGCTATGGCAACCTACTCATGGAATTTCACCACCAGAGCAACTTGCACAGTGTTGCTGGCGGACACGCCCACACGTCACACTGATTGGCTGATTGCAGCCCCACGTCTCCTGTGGTTGGTTACCTGCTCCCTCTCAGCCAGCCTTCTATCTTCCTCCCGTCTCATATCGTCGAGTCTCCGATGGGGACCCTTTTCTTGCTGCCTCACCATCTCTCGCTCTTTTCTCTGTTGCTGGGAGAGAAGGGTGACAGGAAAAAGAGAAATGAGCATAGAGGCTATGTTTGCACTGGGGAATTTATAATGGATAGCCTGCTTATAAGCAAACCTTCCCTTGTTTTGTGTGCAAATAAATAAATAAAGGGAGTGAGAGTGCAGGGCAATGAACAGAGGCTGTGAGTCATTCTCACAAAAAAACACACACACCTATTGCATCCTAATCATCTTGCTTTGATTCAACCTCGAACTGACCAGTTCACTTTTGGCAGGGAGCCATCTTTATCTGCTTTTTTAAAAAGGACATTGAAACAACAAGGTTTGTTCTTTGTGGTGAAATGGGAACCTCCCACTTGGTACGGACACAAAACACTCAGAGCTCATGTTGTTTGCACTTTATAGCTGAACAGAAGAGAGCCAGAGAAGATAGAGGAGGAGGTAGAGGTATATTAGGGGACTTCAATACTGCAGTAGAATACCATACCAATACTGCACAATACTTACAATACACAATCATGATATCAGTGTAATTATGTGTGCCTCACTCAAAGTCCTCTTAACGCCTCAAACATTTCACAGCTGCTGACACTTTGTCAGCCCACCAATGAGCTGAATTATATAAGTAGTTCTTTCAAATATTTAGCAACGTACATAACCTGTGCTTAAATAATGTCTCAAAGCATGTTTTAAAGTGTTACATCAACCCTTACAATACAATCACAGTATGAATACAAAATCTGTATTTATTTTGCTGTCCTTCACAATCAGTAACAATTTACAATCTAGCATAAAAATCCCTGACTGGCATGTTTCAAATGTTTCCTACATTTGTTTGATCTGTGATCATCTGACACCAGCAAGTCAATAAACTAACCGCTAGTGAGGGCTTATAGCTATTAGGCACAGCTTCCCACAAGGCTTTTTTCCCGTGAAAATTTGTCTTTGCTTAAACTTTTTTTGTCAACTCTGTATGAGATAAAACTTCAAAGCAAGTTCAGTTGCCTTATGGGCAGAGTAGATGACATGTTGATACACATTCGGAGGATGTGAAACACTGGCAAGACAATGCTACAATACTAAAAACCAAGATGTGTACAGTGTACTTGTATTATTCCATACAGCAGTGCACTTGTATTATTCCATACAGCAGTGTGCAAACACTATTAACAGCATTATATATACACAATGTACAAACCAACTTGTAGAGCTCAATAAGCTGATTACAAGTGAGCAAGATGTAATCATTATCATATGTTTCTGCATGGACTTCTGATTTTTATCCATCACTTCTGGGTTACACTGTTGTCTTTTAGCTTCACGACAGCTAGCAGGTTAAATTTAAGCAGGCCTTCTTAAATTTTTCAACCTCACAGCCTTAGGAAATAGACATAGATTCTATAAAACAAACAAACAACACACGCAGCCTCCTGGGCTGGTTCACAGCCCTCGGACCATGCAGATTAGCAGTCTTAGTGTAGAGAAAATCTGAATCTTGAGCCACTAATACAACTCACTAATCTACAAACTCCTTAAGGGTGAGACTACCTTTTTACAAACTGTATACATCTCACTCTAGCCTCCAAAATCATCTCGCACTGGGCAAAAGTTTGAAGAATTAGTAATTCATACTTATGTTGAAAGGAGCTGGACTTTTTTTCACTCTAAATAATCTCACTCTATTCCCCACTGTTTGCCTATTAACTATGAATGTTTGTGTTGAAAAGATAGTGTTGCCAGTGAACATGACCTGCGCTTTGTTGAGTACTTGCAACATTATATTCAGTCATGGAGGCGTTGAATTGGTGACAAAAAAACAACCTTATGTATAGGTAAGTTTACTAGTGTGTTTTAGTGCAAAGACTTAATTTCCAAAGCTACTCAACATTTCATTGCCACGTTATATTTTATTATGCATTATTACTTTATTACTTATTTTCATAGTTTACGGTCTGCATATTACATAACAAAAGCTTAGTAGGGCTCATAATATAAGGCAAATCATAAATGCTTTGCACTTATGACCAAAGCAAACTAAATTCTGCCGTGAAGATTGGAGACTTGATAAAGGGCAACAGCAAGTATTTAAGTGGCTGAAGGGCAAGAACAAGACCAGACACATTACAAACAAGGAACCTGTTATTTTTGTTGCTTGGTACAGTTTTGCTTTGAATAAAAAATGTACTGCCATCGTGTTGCATAATGTATTAGTACCATGAGCCTCTGGTAAAATCTGCAGGATTACACTTAATTACAAAATCAAGGTCAACGGTGGAAATAAGACCCAAGACACAATTGTTCTGTCCCTGACAAAATCTTATGTGTGTGTATTTTATAAATGTTGATGAATCAATCAAAACAAACACCAGAAAACAAAAAGACAGACCATGATGATGATTTATCCATAGGTGGTAGTATTTCATTTCAAAGTCTAATTGCTGATACACAACCTACATAACAATTACGTCCCTGAAACACACCTGCCATTTGTAAAGTGAGTATCAATATTGTTTATTCACTACTAGGGAACTTTCAAATATTTTGTTCTAGTGATGTGCTTTTCATCACCAGTGTTTGGTTTTGCAGGTACCAGACCTCTCATCTCCGTATTGGGTGCAATATCGCAATAATTTTGGACAATATTGGAAAGTTAAGTCAAAAACGTTACAGTGACCACAAGACACAAAGACAGTTACAATAAAGGCTAGAAAAATATCTTAGGTTTCCTTAAAGAAATATGTTTACTTGCTTTCTTGCCAAGAGCTGAATTGATACCAGTCTAATGTCTGTGTGTTTAGTATGACTAGTGCCAGGAAGAAATTAACTTAGATTGGCATAAATGCTGTAAGCAGGGGGGAACTGTTATCTTGGCTATATACAATAAAATACACCTTCCTGCATCTCTAAAGCTCTAAAGTATTTCCTTTGACTAACCATACAAAAATACAAGTGTTACTTTTCTCTGGGCGCAGTAGTTGCCAATAAATAGTCACAGCACAAGTTTTAGAGGTGTTGATAGGAGTATTTTTTTCACATTGGAGAGAGCCAGACGAGCTCTTTCCCCGTTTCCAGTCTTTGATAATCGTCTTCTGGCTCTAGCTTCACATTTAGCACAGATACGAGAGCAGTATCGTTCTGAACATTCAACTCTAGGGAAAGTGAATAAGTGCATTTCTCATAATGTCAAACTATTTGTTCAGAAAGTACTGATTCTCTGGATGATTACCTCTTCAAGTCGGCGACGCTGTTCCTTCTGCTCCTCAATGCGTTTCTGTCGGTCATGCAACAGTTGTCTCTTGTGTTCTTCAGGGTCCCTACGCTGAGCAGCCAGTTGGGCCTGCTGCCGCTTGTGAGCCTCCGAGCGCTCTTTGTTCTCCTGCTGCAGACGCTGGAAGTCCCGCCTCAGGGTGGACTCACCGGGCACATTGAGGATTGAACTGATGACCAAAGTTGAGATGATGAGGGAGACGAGTTTCAGGACGATCATTTGCATAAAGAACACAAGTCAAGGATTCAACCTACTTGGACAGAGATGATAAATTGTAATTACCTTGACTCTCTGTCATCTCCACGATTTTCATCCTCTTCATCACTGCCACTGTACTCATACTCCGTCTCTTCTATTAGAACATTTTGAATAAAGCAAACTCAAACATTACATGAAAAAACACTGATATACTAATGTGCAGTATACTTAACTTGATAAATGTCCATGAAGACACAATGCAGCCTGGGTTACACCCATTTAGGCCCTTTCCATCTCATCAGCTTACCTTTCTCTCCCCTCTTCTTGCGCGTACGGTCAATATGGTCTTTGAGCTGAATTCGGACCTGGCGCTCGGTGGGCTGGTCCCTGATGAAGGAGTGCTTGAGAAGCTGCTCTGTGGATGGTCGGCTGGGATATGTCTTCACGAGACAGCCCTCTATAAAGTCAATGAATTTCTTGGACCTGGGAGGAAGGGGCAGGTTAGAGGACGATAAACTAGTGAGAACTAGGGAGAGTGGGAGTGCAGGGAGGCATTGGACAGTAGGCAGCAGGGATGTTGTTGCCCAGAATCCTGATCCAACAATAATCTTGAGAGATTCAAGTGGAACAAGGTCTGTTTTCAGCCCCTTTAACATGTCCAGCATTTTCTGGAGAGGAGTTTGTGTGACATTTTTAGTAATCGTCCTTTGTTACACAAGAGTGAACTTAAGCCAGTAAGTTTCCCAGTTCATGCTTGCAGTCAAAATCCCAACATTCTTCACTGACCCATTTCATCCTGCAATGCCTTTACAGATATGATATGATTGACAGCTATTTTATAGCTACAATCAACCAGTAAACAGCTTATCAACAATCTGAGAAACTACTTTAGACCAGCTTGCGTTTCACTCAACTTCTCTGCAACTGCAACTAAAATGTGAGCAACGCATGACCACTACAAAATCCAATTCAATGCACTACAATAACCACACAATTAATACTACCTGCATAAGGTCAATATTTTTAAAACAGTAACCAAGAGTTGTTAAGTTCATGTTGTCCATCACTTACTTGTGTTTTTTTTCATGTGCATAATTGTTCATTTTGAGTCACAATATTGACCGATAGCTTCTTTCTGATTAGAATTATATAAACATTGTGAATGCAGTGGGACTATAAACTCTACTAAGAGGGTCCATTAACGAGAAGCAGGAAAAGTAATAGGAGCAAAAAAAACAGGGTAGGAGAAAGAACATTACAAGTTAGTTTAAATGCCGTCAGCTTCATGTCTTGCTCACAATCATATTTGTCTCAATGCTGGGACAAAGCACATGGCCACTCACACTATGAAATCAGCTACCCCATATGCAACCATAGTAACCGGAAACTCTGCTTTGAGAAATCGCACATTTTCCTGTAATTTTAGATCGCTTCTCGTACAAGTAGCTTTCTTTCCATTCAGTGCTCTTCTCATTAAGTATGTTTATATTGGATTGGATATGCACTTAACCTGGTTATTGTTGCTCTGCAGTAACCCGTTTTCTCAAACATCAACTCAACAGAGTAACCACGGTATAATAACGCAGGCAAATGTGCTCTCCTGCCCTGACCTGATTTTTCCCCACTTCGATATATCACATTTATTGGTTGGATTTAGCTAACAAATATTGCAGAACTTTGTTATTTCAACACAAAGAGATAATCTATAAACATATTACTGATGCACTAGATATATATTTCCATGTAATTTGATAAGGGAAAAACACTGCAATTGAATTGATCTACTATGTTATCTACTGCACAGTACCAGACAGTGAAAATTAAACATTCTTTCATTGTCATTGAAGTCCCTTCCCCTTTGTAGTTAAAAATAATGTCAACGTGTTTTTAAATATATTGTTTATAACTTTTTTATTATTAAAAAAGGGGGAAAAGGGCTTTTGAGGAAATATCTGAAATTCTCCTTTTGATCTCAGGCGGGGTGTCTCGGTGTCCGTGTCTGACAGACAGCAGCTGGCAGGGTGCCGGTGTTACACCGTAGGAAACGAGTGGACCAATAGTGGACCAATAGTGGACCAATTTCAAAAAATTGCTGTTGCTGATACACAACCTACAACCCGTTAGTCACTTGGACACACCAACATGGGAAAATAGATTCAAATTCATTTTTTTAAGGAGACAGCAGGATGTTTGATAACTCACCATTTTTTGGATTTAAGTTTCGGAGGAGGATTCCTGGGAATCAGGAAGAGGGCTCTCATCGGGTGCATATCACACAAGGCTACACAAATAAAAGGAGATAGATAGTTGTTAAGTATTATTAAATCCTCCTACCTGTGCTGAGAGCTACAGTACAAAGAAGACAAAGGGAAATCAGAATACATTTTACGTTAGACAGAATATCATATTCCCACACATGGTGGCTTGTAATACTATATTCCATAACACATATTCTTTGTATCCTCAAACATGGTTATAGCTGCTGTTATCCAATATTTCCTGGTGCCCCCAGGCTTGATGTTACATTGAATGTAAGAGCAAGGCCTGTGAGTCATTGTGTTCCCAGCGTAGGTAGGTAGCTAAACCTGACTGGTTAGCTTTACAGTTTCACACCAAATGGGCTTTTGTAATGCAGTCTTGGGGACATATGCAACGTGACTGAGACAGCCAAAGAAAAAATGTATTTCAGCATTTTAGGGACAGCAGTTTAGCCACATTAAAAAAGAGAGATCACAGTTATACTGATGAAGTGTGTTTCATATAACATGATAGGAGGTCAGTGGAAGTGATCACAGTAATGAAGTACACAGAGTTTAGTTGGAGTGAACTGTTATGTTTTATTTAGGCTTTTAGGTGATCAACTGTAGAGACAGTCCAAACACTATGAGAAAACTTTTAGACAAATGTATCCCACACTTCCTCAAAATACATAATATACACTCACCAGCCACTTTATTAGGTACATCTGTTCAAGTGCTTGTTAACACAAATAGCTAATCAGCCAATCACATGGCAGCAACTCAATGTAATGCTGAAATTCAAAATAAGCAACAGAATAGGGAAGAAAGGGAATTTAAGGGACTATGAATGTAGCATGATCGTTGGTGCCAGAAGGGCTGGTCTTAGTATATTAGAAACTGCTGATCTACTGGGAGTTTCACGCACAACCATCTCTAGGGTTTACAGAGAATTGTCCGAATAAGAGAAAATATCCAGTGAGCAGCAGTTGTGTGGACAAAAATCTCTTGTTGATGTCAGAGGTTGAAGGAGAATGGGCAAACTGGTTCGAGATGACAGAAAGGCAACAGTAACTCAAATAACCACTCGTTACAACCAAGGTATGCAGAATACCATCTCTGAATGCACAACACGTTGAAGCAGATGGGCAACAGCAGCAGAAGACCACACAAATCACCCTAAAGCCAAACAGGAAATTGAAGCTACAATTCACAAAGGCTCACCCAAATTGGACAATAGAAGATTGGAAAAACGTTGTTGTATTGTTGCTGAATAAAGTTCACCCCTTTATGACTACATTGTACCCATCCTATGATGGCTACTTCCAACAGGATACAAAGCTCAAATAATCTCAAACTGGTTTCTTGAGCATGACAATGAGTTCACTGTACTCCAATGGCCTCCATAGTCACCAGATCTCTATCCAATAGAGCACCTTTGGGATGTGGTGGGACAGGAGATTTGAATCATGGATGTGCAGCCGACAAATCTGCAGCAACTGCGTGATGCTATCATTTCAATATGGACCAAAGTCTCTGAGGGATGTTTCCAACACCTTGTTGAAAGTATGCCACGAAGACTTAAGGGTGCTCTGAAGGCAAAAGGGGGTCCAACTGGGTACAAGCAAGGTGTACCTAATAAAGTGGCCAGTGAGTGTATAGTGTGTGATGTCCACGGTTTTGTGTGATGTATTGATAAGCAAACAATTTTGTAACATGCTGCACCTGCAAGGTTAATGAATACATTACAATTACTGGCACAATGATGCATCTCAAAGAAACAGTGACACATATCACATGTCCATTTTATCAGTCCTGTCTTCTGGAATATGGTCAGTTTATCTAGAAAATACGTGTCACACCTTCCCCCAGTTGCATCATGGAATACACAAATGAACTTGCTTTAAATGTAGAAGGTCATGTGATCAAGACAGACCTTCTGTAGAATTAATCAACTGCAAAGCCAACAGCATATGTATATAAAACAATGTATTTTTATTAAGAATTTAATAAAAAATAATTTCAAGCAATTAAATACATTTGGTTATCATTTTCATCATGATGATAATGAATAAGTAACACAAGAGAGAGACAACCACTAGTGTTGCAAATAATGATTTTCATCATTGGTTAGTAATTTTTTTTAAATCAAAACATTTATGATGGAGTTTTAATGACAAATACCCATCTTACGTTATACAGGACTATTGTGGTGTCTTGGCAAACAGTTCAGTAAAATAAAAAATGTAAAAAATATTAATACTGCTTTTAAACTTAACCGATTAATAAAACTGTCTTCCTTTATTTTCTGTTGAACAACTAATCGGTTCATTGACAAATGGTTTCAGCGCTACTAACAAAAAAAAAGGTAAAAATCAAGGATTGTTGCAACTTTATTAGTGGAACATATTCAGTAATGAGATTGATGGAATGAGGAAGTACACACTGCATAATTTATAATGGTACATCAACACCAGTTCGACAGTTGGCCTGTATGCCTTATGTCATTCACAGAAGCACCACTATGGTCTGTAGGAGCTCTGTAGTCTTCATCAGTATTGTGAAAAAAGGCTTTCAGAACATTAAAAAGTTTTAAAGTGCCAGTGGTGCAAATTTATTTTGACTAAAAAAAAAAAAACCTAAACTCTGCTTCCTATACTTAAAGCTTAATGATCCCCTCCAGACATGTTGTGAGACATAAAAATGTCTCTGCTTGGAATACTGATTTATCTCAAATATGTTTTTCCCACATTAAAAAGTTTTTTTTTCCATCGTGTTAAGAATTCTTAAAAAAATACATCTATACCCTCATTGAAAAAAAACTAGAATATATGAAAATAGAAATATTGTTAATTTCAAAATCTTAACTACTGGACACAATATATCCTTTCTCAGTGTAAAGGCAGGTTTCATTTCCACATCATACTTATGTAGGTTTCATATTGCACCATGACTGACTTCCAAACTAGTTGTGATGTCAAAAATCATAATTTTACATAAACACCTTAAAATCTGATTAAAGGTGATAACAGAGAAACAATCCCTCTTTCAGCAGATTAATGTGAAAACAGCTGTCTAGTATCAAATCTACACATACATCATTCTGCACAGTGAGGGTTAAATATCCAACTGATGTTGCAAATAGCAAATCACAGTGGAGGAGGAATTTAAATTTGACTTTAATTTTATTCAAAATAGCTCAGTTTGTCTCCAACTCAACAGTTAGCAGCAGGTGGCTATAAAATTCAGGCAGAGTGAAAACACATTTTGTAACAATGCAGAGCTCATAAAACAGTAGCCCCAAGTGTTATCTACTACTACTGTAATGGCCAATGCAATACCAAGAAAACAAATAAGTAGAGTGCAAATTCAATTCTTGCTGCAAGTAGGGTTAAAATAAATTGCTCAAAATAATTTACGGAACACTTAAATTAAATCTCAATGAACAATATAGTTAGAAGTTCAAAATCCTAACTGTAAATTGTATAATTCGTTGAGAATAAAATGACGTAACAATGGTCAATGAAAACCAAAATCACCAACTAACTGAGGGCTGGATTCAAAATCACAACAAAAATCAAAGTAAAAAAATAAATCACAGGCTAATCCAATGTGATGTCTCTCATCATGGCAACTCATAATGTGACTCATTAGTGTGTATGGCCCCCAGGTGCCTGTATGCACTCCCGACAACGTCTGGGCCTGCTCCAGATGAGACAGTGGATGGTGTCTTGGGGGATTTCCTCCCAGTCCTGGATCAGGGCATCAGTGAGCTCTTGGACAGTCTGTGGCGCTACTTGGCAGCCTCGGATGCACCGATCGTTAATGTCGCAGCGGTTCTCCATTGGATTCAGGTCTGAGGAAGGTGAGGGTGCAGTCAATGGCATCAATGCCTTCGTCATCCAGTAAGTGCCTACACACTCTGGCCACATGACGTTGGGCATTGTCCTGCACCAGGAGGAACCCAGGACCACTGTACCAGTGAAAGGTCTGACATCCCGGTATCTAGCAGCAGTCAGGATACCGTTATCTAGCACGTGTAGGTCTGTGCGACCCTACAAGGATATGCCTCCCCAGACCATCATTGACCCACTTCCAAATTGGTCATGTGGATGATGTTGCAGGAAGCATAACGTTCACCACTTTCATCACATGTGTTCAGTGTGAACTTGTTCTCATCTGTGACGAGAACAGGGCGACAATGGTAGACCTGCCAATTCTGGCGTTCTCTGGCGAATGCCACTGAGAGGCACGATGCTGGGCAGTGAACAAAGATTTCACTAGAGGATGTCGGGCCCTCATGCCACCCTTCTGCACTCTGTTTCTGACAGTTTGGTCAGAAATATGCACACCAGTAGCTCACTGGAGGTCATTTTGTAGGGCTCTGGCAGTACTCCTCCTGTTCTTCCTCATACAAATCAGCAGATACCGGTCCTGCGGCTGGGTTCTACGGCCTTGTCCAGCTCTCCTCATGTAATGGCCGTCTTCTGGTATCTCCTCCACGCTCTTGATACTGTACTGGGAGACACAGCAAACCTTCTTGCGATGGTATGTGTGGATGTGCCATCCAGGAGGAGCTGGACTACCTGTGCAACCTGAATGGGCTACAGGTGCCGCCTCATGCTACCAGTAATGACAAGGACACTAGCAAAATCAGTCAGGAAGGATAAGGAGAGAGCAATTGTCTGCGGTCACCATCTACAAAACCATTCCATTTTTAGGGGGTTGTCTTGCGGATGATTCTCCAGTGCACCTGTTGTCACTTTCATTTGCACCAAAACAAGTGACATTGATTCACAATTGCTTATGCTTCCTAACTGTACAGATTGATATCCCTAAAGTTTAACTGACATGATGTTATACTGTGTTGATTAAGAGTTCCCTTAATTTTTTTTTTGTTGCATTATAACAACCACCAACTGGTCAAACACAGCAGTTTACTAGGCAAGAAGTTGCTCATGTTGAGCCAGTGTTTAGTGTTTAACACGAAATGTATTTACCACAGCTGTGACTTCTTTTACAAACATTTTAGCAGTAGGAAGAGTAACCTGCAACTTTCACATGGTGCGGCAGCCAGATATTATGGCAGCCATTCTAGACCAGTGTAGACCAGTGCAGTGTTTCTGCAGAAGGATTGTTGATATTTGAACTCAACGGCCAAACAAATACACCCCTCCCTTCAGTGCTCCATCAGAAGCTCCTCCCATACATTTTAAATCTCTGAGGTTTCTCCAGTATTGAAACGCCTTCACCCTTGCCTTGTCATATAACTTCCTTTATTTATACACTTCAGACCTTTTGCTCTTTGGCTATTTCTCAGTCACCTCTCCTTCTTCACAGTGCCTGGATGTACTGGTGTATAGAACACTCTCTCCCACTACCCCCCTCCCCGCATCACTCCTGTGCAAGAGCACTAATATCATCTGTTGCTGATTGGCTAGAACAATGTTGTGTGGACCACACCACTTTCTTTGTTTTCCATTTTGAGAGGAGAGAGCTAGCAAACCATGAGGCAATATTTGCTGAATTTAACTCAAATTGTACTGGATTACAATCACTTACTATCCCTTTAAGTGAGAATTTCTTTGGTTCTTAGTCAGGTTTGACACTAAATCTCAAGGCAGACAGATCTCCCCGCTAAGCAGACCAGAGAGATCTGTGCAATCAGCCTCCACAGGCCAACTGCCAGCTCACGACTACACTACCTTGATTACAGTGAGTCAGCTGTCCATCTGAAGATACAGACAACAAGGCCGCATATCCAAGACAAGACTCATTCATGACGTCTTTTAGAATGGGCTTAGAGACAAGAAATGATCTGTTGCTGAGTACAAACAAATGCATAATATAACGGAGAACAAGTAAAAAGAAACAACAAAAAAAACAGGTGCACTTACGAGGAGCTCCCTCTGCCATCTCTATGGCTGTGATCCCCAAGGACCAGATATCACTCTGTAAAATACACAAGGGACCAGGTCAGTCTCCATCTCGCATATGCTCTCACAGCATAATTCACACACAAACATAGTGCTGCTGTTACCCTGTAATCATAGGTGGAGTCAGGGTTCTCATCACAGGCAATAACCTCAGGAGCCATCCAGTAAGGTGTGCCGATGAAGGTGTTCCTTCGTCCAACGGTCCTGTCCAACTGAGCACTCACCCCAAAATCAACTGAATGTGGACAAAGGAATCAGATGAGAGATTGTGAGGGACAGCATTTGCCTACTTTGCAATACAACAGCCAAAGACCTATTCAACATACCAAGTTTGACCTCTGCATTCTCGGTTAGCAGCACGTTCTGGCCCTTGATGTCTCTGTGGATAACTTTATGGGCGTGGAGGTGAGAAAGGCCCTGTGCATAGACAGAGAAGTCAATATTGGTCAGTAAGGAGTGAACTCTGCTCTGCAGACATGTTTTGACTGGTGTGACTGTGATTTCTCACCCTTAGGATCTCTCTGCAAATGTAAGCAATCCAATCCTCCTTTAGCGAGCTGCCCTTAGTGTTTTTCACCAGGTCAGTCACTGATCCCGCCCCACAAAACTCCATCACCAGCTACATACAGACAAACACATACTTAGTGATCCCAATCAAGAAGGCATACTGCAGCAAAATCATCAGGCCAGGTACAAAAGGTAGACAGACCCAAAGTTGGTCATCATGTCCTGGTGGACTCTTCTTTACAAAGGCACCGTAGTACGTGGCTATGTTGCGGTGGTGGCTGTATTTTTTCAGCATGTTGATTTCTGCTTTGATCTCCTCCTCTTCCTCCTCTGTAACATCCATCACCTTGATGGCAGCCAGCTGGCCCGTCTTCACGTGACGGCCCTGATGGAAGTCAAGATGATGGCAACAGTAGTCAGCAAAGTTTAAAATGAACCTATGCCTCCATGTTCCTGAAACTCTTTGAATTTTGCCGATAAAGTGTGGCTAATTGCTTAATCTCTACTACTTCATCAATTTGCATCTCTTATTTTACATTTACTTCAACTGGAGTCTCTTATCTTTCTGTCACAGCCACATTAAACTTTTTAGGCTGACCACTTAAAGATGTAGCAATAAGCTAAATCTGCTATAATCTGAGAAATTAATGCACAGAACATTTAACAAAGCAACTCATCACACAAGTTACAGCGTATGTGTTGAAAGCTTCAATATTCATCATTCATCATTCATATGTGATGTCATGTCTCACCTTGTACACCTGTCCATATGTCCCATTGCCGACAACCTCGACCAGCTCAAAGATTCCTGCAGGATCCTATGGGAGACACAGGCAGATTCATACATACAAAAGGCAGACAGAGCAGGGTCAGATACACCAAGACAGATACACCTTTTGCCTTGGTGGGCAATTTTCAAGAACCAAAAATATGCATTTCAATAAAATAACCTGCAAATTTGGCAGCAAAATTAAAAAGACCACACTCAAAGCACAACACATTTATTTTTGTTTTTAAGTGGGTGATGGCTGCTTTGTTCTTCTTTGAATCCTACACATCTACACTTCAAGGCTCACCCTAAGTGGAGGTCACATTTCATGTTATTACACTCATGTTTCTTCAGTTAACAGTCACCCTTGAATACTAAAATCCTGCTAAACCGCACCTGTTCTAGTAACTGCTGCAATCTGTCTTCAGTTGTGTTGGCACAAAGACTGGATTAAAACAAGTCTAAGTACGAAACACTGATAAAGACACAAAATAAATACGGGCAAACATAATTAATTTTAATGTCACATCTTTAACAGAAACCTCAAGAGTCTTTGATTTATTAATAATAATAATTGTACTAACTAATTGTAATAACTAAGTACAGTAATAATCTATCAGAAAAATGACCAACAGCTGCATGTCTTTTCCTGTGCAACCGGAATTGTGTACCTCCATGAAAGTGACCAGAGCTGCCGGTCTATAGACTTCATCAGAACCCTGTCACATAAACACACACCAAAAAAACCCATTCTGACCTGTGTAGAATAGAAATCATACATAAAAATAAGAAAACTACAGACTGTGTACACAAAATTGAATCCAATTCCATATTTCCATACAAATCATCTTCCTAGTCACCCACTCACAGACTTACTACCCACCCACAAGACTTTACATGGAGGAAACAGACACGCAGATACACTAAATATTGATACTAGATTAGATACACAAAGATGGATTCTGACAACATGGATGTGACTTCTGACCTTTTCCTGATTTGTTTTCAAGATTTTAAGTATCAGTGCAGTGAAGAATACATATTTCACTGACACTAATGATAAGTAGGGTTGCTTGACTTAATTATGCAACCCCTCCCCCAGGAGACAAGGGAAAATGACAGGCAGTTCTACTTTCATGCAATTTCAATACAGCTTTAAGAAGATGTGTGGGTGGTGAGACTGCTGCTTTGGGTTTAGAATGTACAGCATGACCTATCCTGCTTTCATCTGTTTCCAATGATGGGTTTCTGCATTCAACAAGGAGGGGGGGGGGGGGGGGGGGGGGGGTATACTTGTGAACGATTTGGCAGTAAAATTGGGAATTGACCATCCATTTGATGCAGATGCACATAGCTCAAATGTTGACTTAAATGTACCTGCCAGATTTTGAAGCATGTTATGTGCAAAAACACAAAAGAGGGGGAACCGTGACGTAAAGCAGGAGGCAAGAGAATGATGGTATGAGGAGAATAATGTAATGATAGAGTGGGTGGCAAGGCAGGGGCGGTAGCTTCACCCACGTCCAGCACAGTGAGTGGGATGAGAAGAACGAAGTGATAGAAGGGGAAGGGTACAGTTCTGTTCTAGGAGTAGCACCACCAGCTCACAGTCGAACAAATTGTCTGCAATGATTGCAAAAACAAAGGCAAGGAAGCAGTAAAACCACAGGATAACTGAATGAGAAATCTACATTCAGCCCTCATAAATCATAAAAATGGAAGTCTCCATACTTCTTGTTGATATCATGCTGCCATGTTAATGTGTAAACTCAATATATTGGAGAACCTGGGAACAATGCAATGAATTTTCCTAAATGTCAAGTTGTGTCCAGACTGTTGTTATAAGAATAATCTCAGATCAACAGGGTATGACACTGGTAATGGTCCATGGGGAAGTTGACCACACATTTCCTGCAGGGTGTCAACTTAGCTGACAGAGGAAGTCTTTAAAAAGAAGTCTACCCTATCTGTGGTTACACAGCTGCAACAATCTTCAGAATCACAACTCAAACACTTCCCTGAGTATCAATTTTGTAGTTGGCATTAAGAGTTTTAAATCTTAAACTATGCAGAGTATTTTACTAAGAATAAAGCCTAATGATTGAAGGAATGTCATTTTCCAAATTCAACAACCTAACCCCAACAACATGTCAATTTCTCATGAACCGCACACAATTTGCACATCAGTTATGGACGTATACATTTTTCCATTCATCATGGTTGTATTATGCTACCGTTATGTGAGTAAACACTTTGCAAATGGACTACATTGCATCTAACCAAAATTGTACCATCAAATGTTTGAGAATATCCACAAACATTTGTATTTTAACAGTTGTTTTCTTTAAGTCAATAAACATTACTTTATAATCACAATGTGGAAAAAGTAGTTGACTATTATTGTCCACTTTTACTAGTGTTTACATTGAGCCTTTGTGAGATCTTATAATCTTAACAACAGCATTCATTGTTATCACACTTTTGTAAAGTTATTTATGCTGAACATCACAAGCATGGACTGTTTCATTGCAACAAAATAAAATAGCCAGACTTAATTTCTTATGACTTTAATTTCTAGAGAGCTGGTATTCCTTGCTAATCAGAATCTAATATTCACATCCACTAAAATAATCATACAAGTCACTTTCCAATTATTGTAAATTAATTCAGCAGGAGTTTTTGTTCAAATATTTCCATGTCACTTTCTGTAGTCTTAGTTCTAAAAGTGTAATATATTATGCAACCTGTAATCAACACAACTGTTCTTCTGGCTAATCCAAAAATGGGCAAAGAGGTGGAGCCTGGTTGATGAACCACCAAGTGGCTTTGCCTTCAAAACAATGAGATTGTGAGATTCTATTCAGACTGATAATCCAATTCTTAAATTCAACAAAGTGACTGTACCTCTAAATGATTAAATAAACTCAGGCAATCTTCTCGAATTGCCAGTGCCATTTCACATAGATTTATTATAAAGAACAGGGTCACTTCTAACAATGTGCTGGGATTTTGAAAAATCAGACTCAGGTGAGCCCTCATTTAAGTCAGGGAAAAACATAACGCAGAGCCAACAAATCAGGATATGAATAAACTACCCTGCTCTCCTGTTAAGCACCATAAATCTGTTCAAGCTTCACCAAAGTGCTGCAGAGTTTGATATAGTCTGATATCTTTGGAGGGCACAGGGAAAATGACTTTTCCTCTGACTTTACTGGTGATTTTCTCAATAATAATAATTTTGGTGATGCACATTTTTTCCCATGGACTAAACAACAAGAAGGAAGTCACATCATGTTCTCAGTTCATTCATTATAGTTTTAATTGTGCCGGATACACAATTAGAATAACCTTTTGGTCAATTTAAGTCTAGACAGAGATTTAAACAGCCCACCTATATAAAAGTGAAAAAATATGGTTATGTTTAAAACCAGTACCTAAGTGGGGGAGACAGGGCTGCAATCTATCTTAAAGGAGTAACTGAATGCATAAAATATGTCTTTATAATGCTAATACGGGTCTGTCTTAAGGGGATTTACTGCTGCTAATAAATTATATATTCTTGACACCTGTCATTGAGACGGAGATACATCAAAAGGGAGTATAACAATTGTGGTTTTAATTCAGAAACTGTTCCCTTGGAAAGAGGATTTTTCATTAAATGGTAATAGCAGTGAGCAGGTTTTTCCCCATTTGACTTAATTTCTTGCCTGGCAAAGTGTATCTAATGTTAGAGGATGGTGGTCAAAGAAGCCAGTTAGATTTTTAAGACTGAGGCCTTCCAGGTGGACCACTGAAAACACTGTGGAAGTAAGGCCTGGACTTCCCCAACCAAGTCTTATATCTTATATTTCATAATATACAGTTTTATTGTGAGAAATCCAACTAAACCAAAAACACCAGATCCAAAATTCACCAGGGTATGGTAAGAGGATCTGCCATTCACCTTGGGACCACTAACTTTCAGGCCCCCATTCCAATAATATTTTAAACAAAAGAGAGAGTGTTTCTGCATCATAATGTCAGAGTTTATTACTGGTAGTTGAAAATACAAAAACTGCCTAACGATGAAAATGTTCACCATGACTACACTGTATGTGATGAAAAAATAATCACATGACAGAAATGTTACAGCCCTGGAGACAGGAGCCGCCATGATTTTTATTTTATTCACACTAATCACGGAAAGTTGTCAGGGCTGGGGAATGTTTTTTTATTAGGTGTAAAAAATGTGAGAACATCTTTGATGGGAATCTGTGATACTAAAACAGCACAGCTGCCAATAACAATAGCCGGCAAAGGGATGTTTATCCCAACTCAACTTTGTTGCGTGGGTGTTAAATGGTCGTGCTTGTGTCATTGGCAAACTGACACTTCAGTTCATAAGACATAACATCTAATGAGTCCGTCTGCCACAATGTTACATGAATAAAGTGCAGCACACTTATCTTGTAATAACAATACTCACCCTCAGAGCTGCGAGGTCTATGTCATCCAGGCTTCGTGTGGGGGCGTTTTCAGACATTGCTGGCCAAACTTAGAACGTGAGCTAACAAGTTAGCCAGTTATTAGACAAGAAGTGCTTGGGAAAATGTAAATGGCTGCTAAAACGTGCTTGCACGGGCTTATCTATTCACAAATATAGCAAACCGGCAGTCTAATATGCTGAAACTGTAGCACTTAGATTACCAAACACATCGCAGATAGAGCTGCCACAGACGCACCCAGCTGGCTAGCTCACGTCAACTCTGGCCGAGAGCTATGCTATCCGCAGTTGGTTTACAGAAATGTCGGCTGCAATACCTGATCAAAACACATCCAACTTAAATTAAGAAATTTAAACAACCTGATAACGTCACCGTTAGCCGGTCAGTGGTAACGTTACCGTTCCAACAACTGGCAGGGTTTCAATGCGATGCACCTCCAATTTTGTTGAACACCTTGCTGCGTTCATTTTGACAAAACGCCGCGTCTTTGCTGCTGTACAACATCCCTGCTACTGTTCTATATGATAAAATGATGTGTGTCGCGGGAGAACAATGCCAGATGTTCCACTGAACCATTCCTTGTTACGCCGATAAAGTATAAAATCACATTTACGGTTCAGCAACGCAATGGTTGTTTTTAAGGACGCAACGTCTGATGTGATGGCGTCCGGGTCCGTCCGCACCGCACCAGAACCGACTGTCAGCCTGTCATTATATGCCTTAAATAGCCGTCCTTCCAGACTATTACTTAAGGCTAAGTCTGGGAAATAAAAATGAGGACCTCGTTTGAAATACGATTATATGCAACTGCAGTTGTCAAACTTGTTAACACGACTTTAATATTCCTCAATTTCGACCAGAGCGCACGTTAATCCGAATACAGAGCCAGGTGCGCGCAGTCAGTATAACGTTAACAGGCTAGCTAACGCAGCTAAACTGGAAGGCTAAACAGTCTTTTCCAGCAAAAACTTTCCGTCTTCTTCCATTTTCTGTGTTGACAGTCGCGCCTAGCACCACCAACCTTCCGGGGAAAACACAGGCAGACAGGCAGGCACTATGTTTTCAACCAGCCACCGTAATACTTCTAAACTGGGGCCCTCGACTCTTTCACGTTAAACGTTGCTTTCGTTCTCCGGCGTCCAAATATTATGAACTTGTAGTTGTAGTCCCACACCACAGATACGGTGCAATTTCAAACTGCGGCCAACAGCCAAACTTCTTATTTCGCCATGTTTTGCTTCCCAAGTGCTCCCTCCCACTCCCAGCCGTGTTGTAGTCTTGCGGGGTTGTACTGACGATTGGCTGCACTCAACACAACCTCAAGTGTTTTCGCCTCTTGGATGACTACGGTGCTTCATCAGGGACAATTTACCTGAAAAATTACAGTGAGCCTCAACCTACGTAACTGCCTCTGTCTGCTCTGAGCAGCACAGCTGAGGTCATCCTCGGACATACCTCTGACATGGTCACTGTAAATTCTGCTGGATAACCAAACAACACACTGCAACATTACATCACCGGTGTTTTTTGTCATTTATAACTAAAGTGACCTCATCTCTTAGTTTTTCCTCATCTCTGCTGATGTGTCTGCCATCCCAACAGCTTTATGATTTCTAGAATTATTTTCCCATTAAGGCAGGCCTACTTTATCTCCAGCAGATCTTAATTCTTGTCAATAATGCATAATTCACTTCTCAAGCAGTACACCAAGTGCTCAAGAGAGCAATCTGATATGTCATTAAAAACTGATGCTATTATACTGCAATAACCTGGAGATTGCATTGGTTTTTTATTGAAAATTTCAGCATTCACATAGAAAATCTTATTTATTGTTTTGTGATAATAGTGCCCATTTCCTGTAAAAACATGTTAAGTCACTATATCCACTCAGTGTACAATTTACTCTATGGAAATACATTATATGATTCAATAATATACAGATAACAAATTATATAACAGAAGATATAAAGTACAATATCATAAAAAAAATTTTTTTTTGCAAAGTGTCTCTAGATGATATCAGTAGTTTCTGGCTGTGGAAGGGAAATTCTTGATAAACATCTAGACATTGGTATATTTTATGGATTTTAGAAACATTATGAATAACATTGTGATTATCTATGTAACATTCAGGGGTGTTGGACTGAGGTGAGGGGGGCTCATTTTTACATAAAATGTCCTTCAATTTGAGTAATTGTTTTGGCTGATGAACAGAGATACCGGTATTATATTCACTTTGAATTTCCATAAAAAACTGTTATTGAGGAAACAACATAACATACCATAAAGTATAAAGTATAAGTTGTTCATAACTGTACTTCCGTGATAGAGTAAGAATATTTATTATTTCTCTACCCCTGAGTGTTAGTAGCCTATACATCAGCAACTTCAGGTAATAACCTAGATCTACAGATTTACATATACAAAGGCCTTCACATGGTCACCGATAAGGATAATAGTGATAAGTTAAAAACGCAAGTTTGTATTGGTAATATACACATTAAAATGTATTGGTAATGCTGGCTATTAGTCTAATAAAAATCATATTCATGATGGAAAGAGTATAAGGTAACTTCTCAGCATTATCACAAACATTTCTGCAGAATCTTTAAACAACCAAACACTCAAGGCAACCATTTTGTGCTGAATAAGAGAGGTTAGCAAATACGAGGTTTCTAGTGAAAGGACTCTTGGTGCTGTTTGTATATCTTCCAAAAGAAAGTTTGAATAATTCTGAAGCTAGCAATGCATCGTGCCTAAACACAGATGGTTTTACTAGCTTCTCTATGAAAGGTGCTTCATGTAGAGCAAGGCAGCAATCACATGGGACGGTTGTCATCTGTCTCACTTCTAGGCAAGTTTGCACTAAAATCATCTTGGTAGTGTTGTTGACCCCCCCCCCCCCCATATTCCAGTGTCCAATGACATGGAAAAGCTAAGAATATAAAACATAGTCCCATTGACAAGCTTCATATGCTGCCTGTTGTCTGCCTCTCTGCTGGCTGTTCTCTAAAAATCAGCTTTTATATGATACAGGTGATTTACAGAGGCACTGATAACTCCTAGTAGCACTATTTTCCCCAAGTGTTGTCAGGTTACAGAATGTCCTTATTTTCAGCACACTGTGGTCAAACTCCATATCTTATAGCAATACAATGTTGAATTATTATATGACATTTCCAAATCAGTAGTTGCCTGTCTACATTCATCACCATTGCTACATATTTGTCCAATGCAAGACTTTTTCTGATTGCAGTCCTTCAGTTCCTAATGGATCTGTAAAGGGATTTAACAGGTTTCAAAAGAACAACTGGCATGATTTAACATCAAACAAATCCAAAGAAAAAAAAAGTTAAAGATTAAAAAATGACAATTGCAGCGTGAATGACATGAAAGCCACAGTGTTATGGGGTGTGTACATATATATATATATATAAAATCCAAGTGGACAGTGGAATGTTCTGTTGTGGATTGCGGACATGATCAACATGGTGAAATAATAACAATAATTCACTTGGTTGTCAAAAGCAACAGTTAACAGTAAATCACGTAGCACCCTTTAATTATCTTGTCCTCATTTCATTCCCTACATAATTTATCCAAAACTATTAAAATAACTTTGCTTCCACAGAAATGGTCAGTCCTCTTTCAACATTATTACCTACTATTTTCTGGTACACCATCCTGATTTAGTACGTTATCCCCCCTATCAGTGCTCTCCTTTTCTGCCCTATTCAGTCTTTCTTTCAGCTACGATCCAGTCATCTCTTTATATTCGTCACCATAACAACCACAAATGTTCTGACAGATTTGCTGGCACTGCAGCGAGAGGTGAAGCCTCAGAGGAAGAGAGTGAGAGTGTGTGTGTGTGTGAGAGAGAGAGAGAGCGAGAGCGAGAGCGAGAGAGAGAGCGAGAGCGAGAGCGAGAGCAACAGAGCCACCCACCCACCCAAAAACCTTGCACCAATAACTGTACACTATGTTCCCAGATCATGTGATATACTTGATTTCCAATACAACCTTGCAATCCTCTCCTGACTCATACATTCATTTATGTGTGTTTTGCACCATCGCTAGCCCTGTTGTTCAGATTGTACTGTAGGAGTAATGAAGCAGACACTGCCTTCATGAACAAACTGCAGAGTATAGGTTAATAATTATATAAAACCATCATACATGTCAGTACATCATCTACATGTCAGTGGTTATGTTCAGATTAGTCCATCGTTAGTCAAAAAGACAAGATAAAATGCAAAGATTAACAAATAAATTGTGTTATGGTGATGTCTTTTCCTCACCGCTGAAGTGCTAGTGTACTGTGCTGAACACTAGGTGCACTGGAACTACAAGTAGGAGCATGTGGTACAGCAGCCCTTTCAGCTGTTACGTAGCAGTCTGATACAGGCTCAGCTGCGGTTATGTCCACAGCTCTACAGGAGCCATGCCTTCTTTAGTGGCCAGTGGAGGCAGCAGGTTCTCCTCACACAGGAACTTCAGGGGGAAGTGGACCAGCAGCCCTCGGACAGCCTTCAGCTCCTCTACAGCCTGCTCAGGGTCTGTGTCGCAGAGGCGTTCCTCACTGGAGTACTCCTTCAGCCCTCGCATGTTGTGGACAGTGTTGTAGGGCAGGCATTTAAAGACCTGTATCACAGCAGGGCCACAGCACAGATTAGCCAATGAGAACAAAGGGAGAGGTTAGAAAACTCTGTAACTACACACTGCTACCGTTAGGCATAAAAAGGTCAAAATGTCGGTTTAATTTATACCTTGTCATAAATTGTGGCATTCAGTTTAGCAGTTGCATTCCAGACCAAGAAGAAGAAATCATCGCTGATTGGATCATCAATATTGATACTGGGGTCTGAAGAAGCTCCAACAAGAACACTGGAAGGGAAAGGTTTTTCAAGACAATTATTACTATTTTTGCCCAAAATGTAATTTGAGATTATTTTCCTGTATCCAGAAAATATATAGATGGTTTCTCACTTGTTGTCTGTTTGCATTTGGTAGCTGACACTTTCCAATACACAGAAAACTAAGCTAGTCTTGATTTCTTTGTATCATGTATCAAAACTTTATCATGTCTATAGGTAGCAACTGCTCATGGTCATATATCACAAGAATGTAATTTTCAGGAGTTAACATATTCTGTCCTGACCTGAAACACTCTTTGCGCAGAGCGAGTGTGAGGGGTCCCGCCTGGTACTCCTCCCCTCCCATGATGGATGGGACCCGCTCTTCATCTTCCACAAACACTGCCATCTCACTGTCTCTACTGCCCAGCATGCTGCGGTCATTGATGTTGGCCGATCCTGGAATACATGTGGGAGGTACAAGCATTTACAATCTGTCCATTCAGAGGCATCATTCTTGTCAAACCAGTGTTTCAACATGTGAAGCAACAATCAGAATGAAATAACCTATTGTCCCCGGGTCCCTGTACGCAGGATAAGCAGTTGACGATAGATGGATTGTATCGGGAGTATCAGTGCTGTTTTTCAGGGTCTCTCTAGTTCAGTACAGTATAATCTGTATATTTGTTGTTCAGAAATGGATTTGGAATGAACAGTTACAGGCTTATACTCTATTTGATATGAAATATGGTCAGTTGTGAATTACGGATAGAACAGAGTAGAACTCAAAGCTAAGCTACTCAAGGGTAGGAAAGGTAGGTAGGTTTGCATTAGCAGTAACCTAATACAACCAACATTAGGAGAGTTAATAGTAAACATGACATGACCACTGACATTCAGTTTACTTTCTAGTTCACCAACTCATGCTGTTGTTGTGATGTTAGCTATAGTATCAGGAAAGTTGTGAGTATTGCTGTCTGGAGCTGCTGTGCTGGCCATGGGAAACCATCTCGTCCTCTCTGCATGTTAGCTTTGCAGCAGCAACTGTAGTGACAGTTTGCTAACCCACAACTTAGCTAACGTTAATTACATTGCTTGCTGTGTCACTGTTTGCTCTATATCATGGTATTTGTCATGGAATTTGATTTCTCCAGAGTCGCTTACTCCACCTTTAAATTATAATAAATACAATACTTCATTACATTTTTGTAAACAAATGTCAATATACTTGTTCACTTGCATATTTCCATTTTTTACCAATGAAAATCATATTAAAATATAACCAAAATATATTGATAAAAAAGCATAAAAATACATTCTTATAAAATATTTCAACAGAAGTCAGCACTCTTGTCAATACATGATATGTATGGTAGGAGATGAGCTATTTTGTAATGGAACTCAATCATGACTCAAGGTCAAAATGTCTTTGAAAATGTGTTTGTGCTGGTGACTCACCAATTATATAGCAGCGGTCATCAGCGATGAGAGTCTTGCTGTGAACATAGATGATCTCTGTGACAACTGACTGGGAGAGCTGGGAATGTGTTCTCAGGCCGCAGAGTGTGATGTACTCCGTCCACTGGTCCTTCACTGGGAATCACATTATCCACAAGAGATAATATGAAAATACAGGGATTTATTAAGAAATTCACATAGACATATGGGCTCTTAAAATGGATGTTTAAAAAAAATGAACAAGTCAAGGATGAAAGTGCAGACTGGTGGGTAGATACCTAGTACCAGTAGCTTCAGTTTAAAGGAGCAACACAAGGAGAAAGAAAGACACGCATGTTAGAGAGGAAACAGGTGTCGTGTTGTGAGGTGGAGTCTTTTGGTTGAAATGAAAGCAGATAAGTGAAAATTCACCTTCATTAAGTCTTGACAGGATGGAGTACTCCCCTCGGCATATGGTCCTAAGACATTAAGAATCCATTTAAATTAAGTAATTAACACAATATAGGACAATAATGCAACAATAAATCCTAAGAAAAATAATAAAACAATAATATTGGAAAACATAATGTTTTCAGTGAGTTCATTCATTCACAACAAACCTAAAACAAACTAGCAAGCCAAATTAAATTCCATAATATTATAGGGATCTTTTATCAAAGGAATCTGTAACCGGAGAAACAATAACTTTGTTAATACATAACAGCCAAAATAATGTATATAGCTATTTATATAAAAAGTAGAACTGAACATGACTGGCAACATGTCTTTAAGTCAGTGTGCGTTTTCCTGCAGTAGTTGTTAGTTATAGTGCTTGTTATGGTCTGTGGGCTGAGTGCAGAATGATCATGGGTGAAAGCTCTCACCTGTAAGTGAAGTGCAGAATAGCTTGAATGGCATTTCCACCTCCTGCACTGATGTCTCCCTCAAATCCAGGAAGCAGGGGAATCACCACAAACACTCTGTATTTCTTCTGCTCTCTGCAGTAAGACACAATGAACATCCACGTTGGCCACAAGTCTACTATTTAAACATTAAAGTGGACAATTCCTTTCACTCACTCATTCTATGATTTGTTTCACTTAAAAAATGTTATTTGAATTGTGTAACCCAGCGAAACAACATCAAGTAATTCACTGATATCATAAAAGGTAAATGCTGAAATGTACTCATGTGTTTAACATAAGGTTCAAGAATGTGTGGATACAAAATTAATTAAGTGCCACGTAAATCTGGCTAGTACACTTAAACCAGACCTGTGTGCACGCAGGATTCGCTTCACAATTGCATCGCCGATCCCATTATGGACGGTCTTCCCATCGGCACAGCTGATGAAGAACTGGTTCTGAGGGCAGAGAGAAGGCAGATGGTGGCTCGGTATGAAGTGAGGGCTAAAACAGGTAGGTAGCTGGCAAGGAAGGGACCAAGCTGTGATTCAATTCAGACCTATGACACCTTGTGATTAGAAACACATTGACTGTAGAGTATAATCTACTGCACATTAATTTGCTATATGGTGCACAAGTAAGAAAGAATCACGCGCTGAAACGTCAGGAATAAAGGGACTCCAATGTATGCTTCATATTAAACAAATATACTGTATCTTTCAAAATAGAACCCATTCTTAGGTGTTGCTGCTAAAACGATTCAAGGTTCTGATTGTATCGCTGCTATCACAAGGAAGAATTTGGGAGCCCAACACACAGCAGGCTTACATGATTTCGACAGGATTTGTCTGTTTAAATGTTGAAATGTAAAACAAATCATCAAAAAGTATAGACAGACGTTCATTCCACTTTCAACATCAATTTCAAGTTACTTTCATGCTATGAGGAATATATTTGTCTGTTACTAGCCGGGGTTGCTACATTACCTCAATGTAGATGTAGTGCTCGCTGTTCTCGATGGTGTGGATGTAGGCATTGAGGATCGAGTTCTCACAGGTTCCAGTAGACCAACGATCGGCAGAGCGCAGCACCTAAAACAAGGACATTTAACTCATAACTAAATAATGAACTTTATTCAACTTTATCCGTCATTGGAAACACAATTATATTTATGGTGCATCATTTCACCATTTTGCCTTTACTACATTAATTTCTGCCACCATTACAGTTTTGTCCTTAAAGTGTTTCTTTAAGTAAATAACTAAAATATTAAATATTCATGGTTATATTCATCGTCCGGTATTATTTCTGTATCAGTACTATAAAACTCATTCTTTTAACTTGCTGTCACCAAATTAACTTTAACATCTACGTGTAGCAAAGAAATTACAGAGAAGTGCAATAACTTACAACTATATATATATATATATATATATATATATATATATATATATATGTATGTATGTGTGTGTGTGTGTGTGTGTGTGTGTGTATATGTATATATATAAGTACTTTTTTAAAGCTTCTGCTGTATTATATAACTGTAACAAAATAGAAACCTGAAGCTACTATCATTTTTGTGGTAATTTAAGTTAGTGATGTATTCATCTTGTTCTTTGCATTAACTTCTACTTTACTTAACGGGACACTCAATAAGCTCTACAGCTCTAACACAGAATGTCCCTGAAACCTGACTATGGGATAAACAAAACCTCATAGGAAGGCTACGGCATAATGGGGAGCAAGGGTTACAGTTACAGGCCACTGCCTACAAAACAAAAACAATACACACAGCAAACGCTATAGCTACCCAACACTCACTGTCTGACTACTTAAAACCCTAGCATACGATGTTGAGTGAGAATAAATTTGCTGATAGTAAGAAATTGTTTGGGACTGTGAAGGCCAAAAATGTAATTTACATGTGATATACTATTTCACTTTTACTGCCTGTCCACAGGTTTACTATCCACGTCTGTGTTTTTCAGCTTCTTCTAATTATTGTTTAATTATTGTGTCTGCTAGTGGACAAAAACTGATTAATGCATGTTTACAAATTTGCTCCATGTAAAATCTGTAGTATTATTCTAATATTAAATTAAGAATGAGAACTCTGTCTCATGCCAGTTGACTTGCTAATGTTGGTTGTTTCTCCTAAACTGGACCACATTTCCCATGAAGCCTATTGCAAATAAAATGTCCTCCCTCCCAGTCTCTGGCAGTGCTTTTCTTTCCTCTGGCCTTACTGAACAGGATAAACATGTTGGATGTGATTTTTTTCCCCCCACAGTCTTTACTCGCGTTTCACCATCTGCCAGTGCAAAAAACTCTGAATACTTTTAGCTGCACTTCAAAAGCCAGAACAGTGTCTCTTTGTTGTACTGTAAAGGAATCCATCTGCTTTCCCGATAGCTCTGACTTTGTGTCACACAACGTGAAAT